TTTTAGCACAAAAATGGCCGCCATTCGACCATCTTGAATCAGATCGTAAAACAAAATGATGTGCATCAAGGTTCTATAATTTCCAACGTATATACAAGGTTGAACAAAATCCATCTGTAAACAGCCGGGAAATACTTGATTTTGATGATTTTTATCACAAAAAATGGCCGCCATTCGGCCATCTTGAATCAGATCGTGAAACAAATTGACGTGCATATGTATAATATCATGTATGATGTATGTGTGAAGTTTGATTGTGATTGGTCCAGGCATTCCTAAGATACAGGTCTGGACACACGCACAGAAACACGCATGCACACACACACACACGCACGCACCCATACACGTACGGACACACAGAGGTCAAAACATAAGTCCCCGTTTTCGAACTGTGTCCGAACGGGGACTAAAATAGCTTGTTAGACCAAAAAGAAAACTTGTTTCTGCTTCAAATTTTCTTTAAAAAAAATGCAGTGAGATTTTTTTGTTTTTTTTATATAGTTTCTTAACTGTACCAAACAAAATTTTCAGAAATGATAACTTTTCACCATAAGAATCATTGGTAAATGGCTCAAAATCGTCTCAAAACTACTTTGCTGACTATTTTCATGCACATTTTGTGAACAGCATAAAAAAAAACCATATTGTAAATTAAAGTAAAAAAAGAATCGCACGCGTTTACATACTCCATAAATACTAGTACATTTTGTACATACCATATTATCAGGCATACCATGGTCTATGAATGACCTAGATTGGCTTTTAGGTACCTGTACATACACCAGTGGGTCACTATCTGGGGTAGATACCTGCCAAATATAAGTCAGCAAAATAGATGTAGATTAATCACCTATCTGTGTAGCATAGCGTAACTCTGCATTAGTGAGAACACGTAATATTTATAATATTATATTTATTATTACCATTGCCTCCTCCTTCATGCAATGTACATATAATGTAACATATTATAACATTATTATACATCTGCCACTGTTACGCCATAAGTTACATTGTGCCGTAATTTTGCGGTATTATACGGGGTATATTCATCCTACCATATTAGGAATTCCAAATGTGGAATGATTACGCGCTTAAGCGTCCTCTAATAATAAAAACAAACATGGCTGCCACT